TTTAATATATTTTAAATATTTAAATGTTAATTGTAATAATATTTTAATATTTAATAATAATATTTTATTGTGATTAGACTGATAAAATTGAGCAAGTATATATTCAACACAATATGACGCAACATTATCATCTCTACAATAAAAATTGGCAAAACTAAAAATAACACAGTACGGACAAAGATAAAATAGAATTCTTCTGTTGGGGGATAATAAGGGAGTAAACAAATTCAGGAAGATGAAAACAGGGAAGAAAGAGGATACAAAAGAGCCACCCATGAGATGTTAAAGAATGAAACGTGCTTTGTCACAAAATGACTCACTCTGGTGGAAACATCACTGGATGATAAGATTGCCATAAAAAAACAACAAACAAACATCTTAGCATAATTTCTGGGTTATAATATTCTACACTTAACAAATACTAATTACACAGTAAAACGAACACTGGTGTACAGCCGGATTACCTTGGTGAGGTCAAATGGGTTCCATTTCAATTTCTCTGCCTCCTTAAAAGTCATCACTTGGATGTACATAGTCCACGATGGGTATTGGCCTCGTGCAATAGCATTGTACAAGTCACGAATAGAGTAATCAGGGTCTGACGCGGACAATTCCGTAGCTTTCTGTGCCAGTAGGCACTTGATGCCCTGATCTGTCTGTGAAAGCAGAGATAATATTTGTATTTGAAACATACTCAGAAATTATTTAATTCTTTCCACGTTAAATGGGTCCCTTGTCACAGTGGCAAGGAACATTCTCAAACTGCAGATAAAGCAGACAGCGTCCACATATTTAGGGTGGTTGCAAGTATTCTGAATAAACAGCCAGAGACAATCAACGAGGGAGGTTCCTCCATCTTGGGGGTTAAGTACAGGAATTAACTTGCAGGTTCTGTAAAGGCAATAATTTTCTTGCTGAACTAGCTACACAATTATTAGCCTCTCAAGAAGAACTTTGCTCCAAGGAGTTGGTTTGTTAATGATTCTTTAATTCCACAATGGCAGCACTTTTAAGAACATCGACAAAAACGAAAAACCCTGCAAAAGGATTCTGGACAATCATAAAGTTTTAACACTTCGGAATAATGACAGAGAAAACGCGATGTGATGAACTGACTTCATAGAACTACAAACCTTGTAATGGAATTTCACATACACGGCCTCATTTTTATCATTCACCATCTTAAACGTATGTGAACCATAACCATTCATATGACGATATCCATCTGGAATGCCTCTGTCAGAGAAGAGGAACATCACTTGATGTGTGGACTCTGGTCGCAGGGAGATGAAGTCCCAGAACATGTCACAATCCTGCAATACACATCGACCTTTACCGAACCACCTGCTTCTGCTTGAACAATTAAATTCTTACTTCTAAAAATATATAAATCAAGATTCTTTTCCAAACAAATAATTCTGGAACTGGAGCCAATATGCGAAAGAACCACTGTCACATATATATAGTACAATCTACTGATGCATCATCTAGATCTAGTTAACTCCGCAACAGGACTAAAACATGAACACTTTTGGGCGCTCAGGCTACAAATGACAATTAATTTATTTATGACATATTTAACAATGCTGTCAGTAGCTAATACTATACTGGATACTGGGAACGACCCGTTCTTCAAGTGCCTGAGCACTGCAGGTCCCAACTTCTTCGTTGGTTCGATCTATATAGACATTCGGTAGGACTCCTTGGACGAGGGATCGGCCCGTCGCAAGGCCTCTACCTGTACTCAGGACAGCACAACACAGAAAAACATCCATGGCCTGTGTGGGACTCGAACCCACGGTCCCAGTGACCCAGCGGCACAAGGCCCACGCCTCAGACCACGCGGCCACTGCGACCCCAGCTAATACTATACAATTTTGAATGATAGAACTGAAGAACAATGAAGTGAAAATAATATGGAAAAAGGAGTCATGTCCTAATTTAAGGTACTATCCTGACATTTGCCTGGAGGAAAACCTCAGTCAGGACAGCCACTCTCTGGGGCAAGATTTGACCTCGGACCTCCTGAATATGAATTGCGAAGGCTAACTACTCAAGCACAACGCTGGGTGGGAATGATAATTTAAAGTGGAGCATTTTAAAATATTTATATCACAAGAAAATTCAAGCACAGTGGCAGAACTGCACACTTTGAGGTATACAAAGGTCAGAGAAATTTAATTTTATGAAATAATTCCTTAGGTAAGTCTAAATATTGTTAAACAAATATATTCTATTCATGGTCAAAAAATGGAAATAATAATGGGGGGGCGGCGGCGGCGGTTGAAATATATTGTAGCTTCCTGAGAAATGTACTATCTGACAGTTGTGTTGTTACCTTCAAATGTGTGGCTGGGTTTCTCTTCTGTGTGTGGATAAATACAGGGAACAGCAATGGGTCCCTGATGAAGAAGATCGGTGTATTGTTACCCACCAGATCCCAGATACCATCTTCTGTATAAAACTTCAGAGCAAAGCCTCGAGGATCTCTGCAATATAATAAATTAAAGTTAAATATTCGTGGAGCACACTACATGTTGAAACTATGGATTACTATGAAGAAAAACAATTAATCTTTTCTGTAATATGTTCATGTACTATGAGAGTAATTAAGAAATTATTTAATTAATTTAGTAGTAATTACTGCAAGTATTTTTGAGAAAAGAATGACAGATAAATCTCAGCTGGAAAAACGCTTCTAACCTTTCAATCACTTAAAATGTTCGAAGAAATCTGTAATTAAAAAAGAATAATGTTTCAGAGGATAAAGTCACAAAACAGCAGCAAGTGCTCCTAAAAATTCCATGGAAAATTCTGAGGCAGTAATACCAATACAAAATCCCTCCTAAAGCGTAATAAGAAACACAGACAGAACTGTATAAAAAATCTTGGTCCTATAATGATGCTAGATATTTAATATGCAACATTCCTTGGTTTAGTGTTACCAAAAAGGATACAACACAATGGATATAGGTACAAATTCTCATGTTGCATCCTTTACGAATAATCTATTGTCAAACAAAAGTAGTATTAATCAGAGATCAATGACATAATTACAATATCACATTAAACTTGTTTCCACGGGCAACCAATAACAATAATTCACACACATGCAAATTTGTTCTAAGTGACATGAGCGATAAAAAAGTGATATTCTTAAGTTATCAAATGAGTAAAACAAAATTCCTATATTTTAAAAAAAAATTCATCACATAGGACAATCATTATTTTACAAATTCTATTTCATCACATAGGACAATCATTATTTTATTTATAAGCTAGAATATATAAGGAGAGTAATAAAAAATAAATGGCAAAGCAATTTCCTAGAGGGTTTGCAATCCACACAGGCATATACAGCAGACGCATGCTAACATGTACTGACATAATAATCAAGCTCTGACAAACGGTGCTAATCCAACCTACCTGACGGTGTCAGCCGACCCACTTTCACCGCCTACAGTGGAGAATCGTACAGCAATAGGCGTCTTCTTGCCAACGTTTGAGAAAACACTTGCCTTACAGTATTTTGTGATATCATGTGTCACTTCAAAATAGCCAAATGCACCTAAGGGTCAAAAGTACATCAACGAGTTACTTTTATCTAATGCCAAGGTTAAGAATATGTAGAATTTCCCATCTTCCTACTAAAATGCTTATGCACTATCACTTTATTACATCTGAACTGGTCAAAGGTGATTTATCAACTATTAATTTATAGTGTATTTAATGACGCCTGTCAGATATGAAATATGGACTGAAGGTACTGTGGAGAAGTGAATACAAGAATTCCCAGAAAATCCACAGTAAATTTCAGGTGGAATGAAGAGAAAATGAACTTCTTGTCAAAAGCTGAGAACTACATACCAAATTATAATGCCATGTGACTTACCTGCGCCCTTGGCATGGACCACTCTTTCTGGGATACGCTCTCTATCAAAGTGTGCGAGTTCATCCAGGAAAGTAATATCCTGCAGCAACAAGGGTCCCCGAGGCCCCACAGTCAAACTGGCCCCACGATTATCGACTGGTGCTCCATGTCCAGTAACAATCTTTGTTTTCTCAGTCTGCAACACGGGAATTATTTGATAAAGGTAACAAGTAACACCAGTTTACAGTTTAATTATCTCAAACTCTGTTCACTGAGCGCTAAGACAGTTGAAGTTTCACAGATGAGGTATCCATGAAAAGCAGGTCCTTTGTCACTAAAGGACAATGCATCCTCAGGCTGTAGAATGATACAGCCTCTAGATATGGAGGATAGCTGTGAATATATTCAATATGCAATTGTAGACAGCTGAAAAGAAGTGGTCATCCAGTCTGGGGGTTGGGTAAAGGGCTAACAACTCCTTTCCAAAAAAATCAGCAGTTACAAAATACTACATTGGCTCTGGACTTGTTCTGGACTCTTGTAAATATTACGATGAACACCTGGGTTTCATAAAAGGCAGGGGGGGGGGGGGGGGAGAGAGAGAGAGAGAGAGAGAGAAGATATAATGGTGAGTGGCACGCAACCACTTCAAAAGCTGAAAAACTGAAATTATTTTGAAAGTGTCTAGTAGCTTCCATGCTTGCTTAAAGGTCAGAGAAAGGTTAATTACTTGTGGGACCAAAACCTGTTCCTACGTCCTTGTAAAATGAATAGTAATGATTATTGTTCTTCAATGGCAACTACATGTTACATAGTATTCAATTGTGCAAAGTCACATCACTGAACTTCTTGGTGCTGGTTCAGGGTATGCAATTCAGTTATAAAAATTATTTTGAAACACATATATCTCTAATAAACCTGTAACAAAACTTCAGTTAATAATTACTCAGCTAGTACCGACCTAAAGGTTCACAACTGTGTTTGTAACAGCATGCCACTGGTCCCTATCCTCAGCCAGACAAAAGCAGTCTTTACCATAATTCAATGAGATATATCTTAATATTATCCTTGCAACTATGCTTGAAGAGATGATCAAACTGGGAGGGGAGGGGAGGGGGGACTCAGTGTTGTTACTGTGAATGGCTCTTAGAGTTTCAAATAAGTGAACTATAAAAAAAGGAAAATCTGCTTACACTCTCAGCTGAACTGTTTCCTTCTTAATTTACACATAAACAACACAAGAAAACCTGCAGGGAGATTGAGGTAATGCTTCAAACTGAATCTCCAACACACAACAAATGAAGATGGTGGTCTAGTGGATGATTTGTGATGTCTCTATGGAGAAGAGTTCTTTTAGGGAGCCGATACTAGCTCACCTTCCCTGTCTTTTATGTGACCCAAAGGTCCAATATCATGTTCACAAAAGCCTGTCACTGGACCCCATCCTGACCCACTTAAATCCAGTCCATACCCTATACCCTTAAGATCTATCTAAATATTATCCTCACAGAAGTTTGAGTTTGGTCTAAGCTGAAGTCTTGCTTGGCCAGTGTATCAGAATTTGTAATTGTCTGTATGGCTGTGACCATGCACTGCTCTTGCTCAGAGATATGACAGCAACTTTCTCTAGTCAGCCTAGTCAGGCCAGTTTTGTAAGGAGGTTGCTCAATATGAAGGAACCCACAGTATGTGCCACTCCCTCAACCTGAATCTCTGATATCACAAATCTTAAAACCTTGCATACCTGCAGTGTATTGATATATGAAATCATACATACAAACAAAAGTGTTTACACATTAAATAACACTTTGTGCCAAACACATTTTGACCTAAAGAACTGTATGATTTTAATAGACAGACCAATGAATTAATGCTTTGCCACTGATGATGAAATCTTGAGGTCGAAATGCGTTTGGCACAAAGTGTTATTTAATGTGTAAACAGTTTTGTTTGTGTGCATGATTTCATATATCTGATATCACAGAGTTATTCTGATAAAGATTATTTGCTTTTACAAATCTATAACCCTCCAAAGCAGACACACAAAACATAATTCAAGAACCCAAGATAAAATTTATTTGTTGTTCAGTAAATTGAAAACACTTCAGAGAAAAAATTATTAGGGCAAAGCTTATCTGTTTGGAACCAATCTCTCCTTCCTGAGACAACAAGCAGCAAGCACCCACATGTACGAAAACACATGTGTGTTCAAGCGCATGCACTCACAGGCACACATTAAGTCATGGGGAAACCCTGAAGGAAAACCAAATAATCTCTAAACATCATCATGTCTGGTTTTTTAATGCCTGATTCCAAAATTAATGCTCATATCTTGAATTCACCATACGCGATTCTACTTTATCTACCAAAATTTTTGGCATGTTATAGTTCTCTGTAATACAGCGGGCTGTGTGAAATATGAGAAATAAATCTGCATAAAAAGTTTCACATTATTTTGTCCCTTTCAGACATTCATGACCAATGTATAATTAAGGATTTTTCCATTACAAACATACCATTCCATAATAATATTCATCTGACACAGATGCTCAGTTCTCCAATGTCACTTACATTACCTATACAAACTGGATTTACCTTCAAAAAATGGTACACAATAATATTACTGTACATTAACATGTTACAAGTGGTAATGAAAATACAGGTGTTCCATGTAAAAAAATTATGACACTTCTTTGCTTGAGCAAGTGATTGACAGAATTAACACTACTCTATCAATTATGAGAGTTGTTTGAATGTGATAATGCTAGTGATAATCAATGTAAAATGGAATAAATGGCAGAGAAAATTAGTGGACCATTAAAAATCCTGTCACTATGAAGATTCATGCATCCCATACTTACAAAATAAAGTCCACTTAATGGCTAATTTCTTACATACACATGGGACACATACCTATAAAAGATACACTTGTTATAACTAAACATAAATCAGGTGGGAGAGAAATAAATGTACGAATCCATTAAAATCTGTAGATGTGGGTCACAGGGTCAGTCTGGATAAGGTAATGACAATAAAGATTATGCCCCTCTCATGAATCAAACTATGATCATCCTGCCTGTAGTAATTTTTCACTGTTACAATTTAGTGAGACTATGTCTCTGTGGAACTAGCAAGTAACTTACTGAGATATCCTGGCTACTGATATAAATGGTCTTGGTGTCATTTTAGGCTACTACCCAAGCCAGTGGCTAGGAATATACTTTAATACACAAAGATGTTACCTTTAAAAAGCTGTGGCTGACGATTCTAATCCAACTGAAATCCAAAATTGCCGAATGAAACACCCACCAAGTTCCTGATTATAAGTAAAGGCAGTTTCCCAATATGTGAGGGAAAGTTACATATCTTGATTTTGTTAACTAAATGTGGGTAATTTTTTCCCAAAGTCTGACATTTTGACAAAACTGAAGAAATTCATCAGATACGGCTCCTTGTATTCATGTTTTTAAGGAATTAATAAAATAACTATCATGTTATCAATTTGAGTTTGATAAACGATCTTAATAAGGAAGCTATTCTTCAATAAACCGCCAAATGTGTTATACTAAAATAGATATTAAAAGACAGGGTTTTTAAGATGTGCAATGAATTCATCTGACAGAATCTAGCAACGGGTTCTTGCTAATACAATAATGGTGTGGGGGAAACGTCAGCCACAGATTAGACCATGTAGACAGGCTGCCAGTTACAATTCCCTTAACAAGACATCAAATCGTGTTGTATATCAAAAAACACGAATATGCTTACGGTTTCGCCAGTTTTACAAGTGATGCACATGAGCCTACATGCGAAGCCTGACACTTCTTTACAAATTATTCACTGGTGATACATGACTTGCAGCAAGCCAACTGAAGGTCAAGTAATGATGGCAACTTTGAAAGACTTTTCTTTTTAATGACACGTTTGAAAAGGACAATTAAAATTTGTTGCTTACTTGTTTCTTCTTGTAGTGTACAAGTTGATCAGAAGCTGGATCTCGAGAAGACATTTTTGATTAAATTATATAACTTCACCAGCCCACCGATGTGCAACAACTCACAATAAACCCAACAACTTGGTGACTGCTAACAGCCGACCTGACAAATGAAGTTCCTACGTCTGTATATATTCTGAAACCGCCAGCAGCCATTTCTCATACGCGTGCAAATTATTTGATATAACGTAAACACTGTACTCTGCCATCTTTCAGTGTCTACAGCAAAAAGGTACTCTTACTGTGATCGATACCGGTAGCTCAGTCAATAGAGTAGAGTTTATTTACATTCAATAGATCCTTCTTAGGACTCAACCTAAGGATGTAGAACATGTCATTTCATACAATATACATACACTTCAAAACTTTCAACACAAGTACAAGAACGTATTTCACATATCAATGTACATAAATTTCAGATTCTGCAATACAAGTATGAAAAATAATTTTACAAATTAATATACATAAACCTCAGAATTTTAAATATAAATACAAAACTTGCTTTACATACACGTAGATTATGGATATAAAGCTTAAACATTTTCAGCAGAGATGAAATCATCTACAGAATAGAAGGAGTGAGTAAAGAGGTAATCTTTCAATGCAGGCTTGAATACCTTTATATCATAATTTAGACTTTTAATTGTTGGTGGAAGATTATTAAACAACTTGATACCTGTATAGTACACTCCTTTCTGATATTTAGTAATAATGTTTACTAAAACTACAGCAGCAATGCTCACCATGCTTAGCACACAAATTTTGAAACAGCGATATTGTAGTGGATCTAGCTTCATATTTGGGGTCTGTTCGAACTGATTGGTCAGTTTCTCAGCACTTATTCTCTGAAAATGATGGCAGCTCCTCAGCAGCTTCGGGATTTTTGCAACAAATTACATAATACCCAAAAACTTTTCATGAAACAAAATTCCCAAAGTGAAAAGTACTTGATCAGCGTAAACAAGAGCATAGGCAGAAAAGTTTAGTGTTACAAATGTGGAGGATATTAAGGTCTGGGAAAGCTAACTATTTTTGTATTCAAGTACATAACTAAAAACTTAATAATTGGTACATTACTCCATCCACACATCTATTTTTACATATAGTTTAATCTTGTAGAATTACAGTAACATGTGTCAGTTTAATGGTAATCTTAGGCTATTTTTGTACGAAACAGCTATAGATACAAGTTGAAGTCACAGTGTCAACTATGGAACAAGGGTACAGTTTATTGTGTTTCAAGAGACTTGCATTCATAATGAATTGTTATTCATTTCTGGAACAAATAAATAATATCAGGCCTGTCCTGTTACAAAGTAAAAATCACCAAGTTGTTAACAAACGTGTGTATATAGCACAAAATGTGACCTTGTAACTAACATACACAGGTTATTTTATATGCTAAACTGTTATGTTTCAAATCAAAATATAAGGAGGACCACTCACAGTTCTGATATATTGTGAACTATCTTACTCAGTTTCATGAAATTGCAAAAATATCTAAGAGACATAAGTATCCAGCATTCAAGTAATAAGGGCTTAGCAATGTGACAAAGTTTTGCCAGAAAAAGCACAGAAGGAAATATATATTGCCAGAATATGTTCACATATAAGATTTGAGGTTTTCACAGCAGTGAGTATGAAGATTTCTGTCTTCTGGGTTGTTGCGCTGTGTAGTCTGGTCGATGTTAACCAACGTTTCAGAGGTCATACTGCCTCCTTCATCAGGGCGATGAGTATGAAGATTTCTGTCTTCTGGGTTGTTGCGCTGTGTAGTCTGGTCGATGTTAACCAACGTTTCAGAGGTCATACTGCCTCCTTCATCAGGGCGATGAGTATGAAGATTTCTGTCTTCTGGGTTGTTGCGCTGTGTAGTCTGGTCAATGTTAACATCGAGCAGACTGCACAGCGCAACAACCCAGAAGACAGAAATCTTTATGTTCACATACTATTCAAATTGGAAAATAGCATTTGGAATGTTGTCATTGAGTGCATACCAACATTTATGGAATACATTAAGAATCAGACACTCAAATTCAGCATCCGAGTATGCTGGATAGACGTCAGATGGTACAAAGAGTTTAAAAAGCAACAGAAATCCTTATTATCTCCAAACTCTATAATCTAAATTTAAATACACATATACATAGCATAAAGCCAAACATTTGTACAAAACACTAAAATAAAAACATACAATAACCGGGGTGATTAAATATGGCTTCTTAAGGTGCGTTCTCACAAATCAAGTTTAATTGACCGATTATAGTTGATCAACAAAAGTTGAATAAAATCTGTAGTGAGAACCTTTGTTTCAATAGAGTTGATCAACTTTTTAGTGGATCAAGAAAAGTTTGACCCAGTCAAACTTTATTGTTCAAGTGATGAGTCATCCGCCATTTGCTTTCAAGTTGAATCCTGTCTTGAAACGTGTGAACTTCAGTTGATTGTCAAGTTCGCTTTCAACTGGTCATGCCACTCGTGCATGTGTTTTGTTTTTAGTTTTTTGTGTTGTGTTTTTAGTTAAAAAATGAGCCTCAAGTGGTCTGAAAGTGTGATGCTAAAATTCTTAGAACTTTATCATAAGCATGATTGTCTTTGGAACCACCGACTGGATAAATATAAAAATAAAGATGCAAGAGAAAATGCTTTGGGTTCTATTGTCAAAGAAATGGAAATTGCTGGTCTTACTATTGCTGATCTGAAGAACAAAATTAAGACGATTAGAACGATGTATAAAAAAGAACATTCATTGGTTTGCAAATAAAAAAAAAGTCGAATGCGAACAGAGGAAGTATATGTGCCGAAACTGTTTTGGTACAAAAGAGCGGATCTATTTCTAAATGGTGTTACAAATACAAGATTTTTGCTCATGTTAAATAAAATTGTTTTTAGTTCTTCTTTTAACAAAACAGTTACTATCCGTACAACTTCACGCACAACTGCTTTCGACGCCATTTTTAACTGAAACTGTTGATCAGTTTCTATTGAAATGTGTGAACAAAAACTGATTCAAGTCATATTCAACTTTTGTTGATCAACTATAATCGGTCAATTAAACTTGATTCGTGAGAACGCGCCTTTAGTTAACAAATGGAATACTACAGCCCTATTTGAGAATGTTGCATTCAAGGATTAGAATCACTATTGTATAACTACAAAACACCGCTATCTCACAAAATTGGGGGAGGGAATGAATACTATCAATAAAAATATACTGACTTGAAACTGTAGCCTTAATTACATAGAGTTACACAGTAAGTCTGCTAGACATCAGGGGGTGTTTCAGGAGGTAAATTTGGGTAAAAATCTTAATCCAATATTGGTCTTATTTTCAACCACTGCAAACCTAATATCATTTAAAGATGCACACTGGCAAAAATAAATAAGAGCATTAATCAGACAAATTTATTTTTTGAATTTTATGAATACGTCTTAAAACTGTTCAAAATACCTAATAAGGTTTCTAATAAACAGCTTCTAATAAACCAATCTGAGGTGTATCCATAATCCACGGGAGTTCCTCCCTCATGTGTACATTGGTCCTGTATGTCACCTTTCAATTAGACAACATAAAAGGAAATGAAACGCAGTTAGGCCTGGAGATTTCGGCAGCCAAGTTATAGGACTACAATGACCAATAAAACGATTCTCATAGTGCTGATCTGAGTAAGCCATAACTTGATGACCAAAATGTAAAGCAACTAAGAATCAACAGTGGTAACATCTTCAACTAAAAACCATTTATCAAAAGTATTTTAAAACGTCTGTTGCTCTGCAATGGTTGGAAATAGGACCAAACTTGTATTTACGTACATCTTTCACTCAATTTACCTCCTAATCACCCTCCATGTATGGCAAATTAGATGTGAAACATCTGTATAATGGCAGGAGAGCAAAACCTGTTACTCACATACAACACTGAAGGTACTGAGTACCTAGTAAATACAGATGGCAAACAAAGTTTTAAAACTTGTACATCTACATAACATCCTTAACTTAAAGGGAATAAGTTGGATTGTCTTGCAGCCAAAGTATATTGCCATATCCCCATGCATATTCTGTGATGTAAAACTTCTGTATAATGAATACTGGTTAAGATCTATAAAACCATGCACCCAGCCAATAGTGATGTGCTTAGAGTCAATCTGAAATATCATTAAAGACAATCATAAACCAACACCAGCATATACTCACTGGAAGGGTGTCTGATGACAGAAAAATAAAATAAATCATATTTCATTGCATAATTCATACTACTGAATCATCTTCATTTTGTGTTGTGATACAAGATCGAGAGTCTGTTTATAAATATAATGACCAACGTTTTACTCTGTTGAAAACAGCATGTCTATTACTTTCGAGCACTTAAAGAGGACCACATGAAAATGACCAGCTAAGGTCAAAATATGTAGTGGATCTTAAAAAAACATTGAAACTATAATAAATTTTTTTTGTGTAGACTGTCAACCAAAAATCAACATGCAACAGGATGCATCCCTTAAAACTAAAAGGCTTTCACTTTTATGTACAAGTAAAGCAGATAGCGATATCTTCCACAACTATTTTTTATAAATACCTGCGTAAGTCATGCACCAAAATTTACAATTACAAAGGTTTTTGGAAAAAAAATGTGTGTAAAATCATGTGATGATGAAAGGAAATAAATGTCAATCTAGAAAATTACAACTCCACAGTATATACACTGCACTAAACCCCACATTAGAGTCACATTTTTAGATTACAGAAATTAGGGCTATAAATTAAAACCAATAATTTAATATTTTGTGAAAGTGATGAATGCTGAGGGGAATGGGGAATGTGGTTGGGGCATGAAGGTGATAATTCATTTCCATCTAGTGTTAAGGTTAAGTAAGACTGTGTGGTGCTATATGTCTTAATTGTACGTGCTTAATTAAGCACAGGGAGGGACAATACTTCCGTTCCCTTCCAAAAACTAAACAGTGGTAATTTTCATTATGTTTCCCGCATGACAGATGCTGTGGTTTAACGTCTTTTGTTAACTTTACTAGAAATAAAATCAAGTGGAGCAAGTACTTGACATTGTCACACAATTCACACATTAGGAATTACCTTGTTATTACTCAGGCTGAGATGTGAGAACCTGCTCTGAACTTTCCACTATAAGCATGATAGAACCAGGCTCAGTTGCAGTGCGCACACATTCCACCTGATGACTCGCCCAGTCCTTACGCTGGCAGAATGTTGAGCAGTAAGGTGTGCGTCGGCATAGTGAACACTCTGCATATGCCTCACGGTTACAGTTGGCACACTGCAAATGGCAAAATTATGATTTACAGAATGTTGGGGAGGGGAGGAGATTCATTTTAAATAATTTAACCAATGGAACAACTAATTCCCTCCAATTTAATTCCCTAAGAAAAAAAGAAGAAGAGATAATAAGGCAGTCCACCTTGGTGAGAATGTCAGCAGATGAATATTTTTCTCTACAGGTGCAAGGGTCATCTTTTCCAAAAATATTCGAATGTAACAGACAATGCCATGACGTTAGAATAGTTTGAATATCCTTTGTGGTAAGATACTGCATATAACAGGCAGATACTGGAGAGGTTTACTCATATCTGTAAGCACACTTCAATGTGTGTTAAAAACTGAACAGCAACTGGCACCACCCTGCCCACGCAAAGATCACTGACCCCCAGACAACTGGATATTACTGGAACTGTTCACAAAAGTTGAAGACCAGGCTGACAGAACAAACTGAGAAGGTAGAGGCAATAACAGTGCCAACATGCCAAAATTGTTTAACTGTGCATACAACTCATTAACTTATTCACATTATCAAAGGAGGTAAAAGAAATCACATATTTAAGTAATCATATGACCATTTCCCATTTGCAGTTTACAAATACCAATCTAACCTTCTTGTTCTCGGTAGCGTCTGAAGTTGGTTGCAGTCCTACAGTTTCAAGGTTGTCCACCACATGAACAGGAAGTGCAGTTTCACCTGCCCGTTGTTCAAACACCGCCCTTTAAAAGAACACTGTGATTAAGTATGTGCAATATTATGTGAGCTTGAGACTTCTCCCCCGTTAATAAATGCTGTATAACCTGGCCAATTTTTGTGAATATAGGCATGAATATGAAGCCATTATAGCCAGGTATTTTAATTCCCTACCATCAACAACACCAACATGGTAGCCATGCAAACCTAGAGGCGACTGCAACACTAGCATAATCCTTAAAATTTGTATGATGTCAGATCTTTCAAAAGTCATATTTCTACAGCAAGTACAATAATCACATGGAGTGATTCTACGAGGGTACTTTGACAATGATTCATCACATCATTTACTATACTGGACAATGTACATTAATTGAGGGATATATGAAATACACAGCATTTCAGGATTTGGCTCTACTTCCATTTTCCAGAGGTACAAAGATCTGATCTGATCGGTTTACGCAAATGTTGATAGGAATAACTGAGGATGATGGACCTCCAGGTTGAAGCTGCTGTCTACTAGATTTACGGAAATGTCAATAAAAAACAATTGTGGGCAACTTCCCCAAACTGTGTCAATCATGGTTTTCTGGGTTGTGACGTCTGAGCCTATAGGTGGTTACTAATGTTTTGGAGGAACATAACGCCTTTATGTTTGCCCGGAGAGTAGACACACTGAAACATCGGTAATTACCTATAAAACCACATGGTGTCACAAGTGAGAAGACCATAATTAACATCTTCACCACCATGAGAAACTCAAACCTAAAATCTCCAGCATGCATCCATTTCATGCACTTTGCATAAGAACACTACACACAGAAGAGCAGTAATCCCTAATATAAAAAGTGGCAATTGCATTAAGGAGAGGGGGAGGAGGAGGAAAGCTACACAAATAATCTGTGAATTATGTTACCTGGTACAGGCAACATGAGTCTCAACTCTGGCTGCCAACACTGCCTGCTCTTTGGCTTCTTTCAAATTATTAATTTCACGGTGGCACTGCTCTCGAGCTTCTTCTAACATCCGGTGGAACTGATTTGCTAACTTTAATATCTTCCCTGATATCTGGAAATATATTAATTGAAACCCCTTAGTTGAAGGATGTGGCTTTGGGCTGGATGACCGAGATTCAATCCCTGACAGACATACTGGAATTTCTCTACAGGTAGTGAGGACTTACATTAGTCCAAAAATGTGAATCTCATGAAGAGTCTATATTGAGGAATACTACATTTCACAGCATAATTTACAATGACAGACAATGTTTACCCCACCTACTTTTTTTTTATTAAAAGAGACAGACAAGAGGCAGAATAAACAGTAAAATTAACACATTCACTGCTATGCTGAATGAAGCTTTTCATCCAGACATCTTCTTTCATGCCTCATGGAGAGAAATTTACCAAAATTAATAACAGAATTTATATCAAGACTTCATCATCAGATACAAAGACCTAGAAAATATAAGATGTACAATCAAATGAGAAATATGAAGATGATTAAGAACAGCATTTTAAAAGAATACAGAAGGATTATGAAATTCAGATGAAAATGTAACATAATAATACAAGATAGAAGCTGTGTCGCATTAAAATGAAGCAAAAATTATGACCTAAAACCTCAACCCACACACTACATACCTCCTCAAGTTTTTTGAAAGTGTCGATGTATGATGTTTGTGATGGGACAGTCTGGAACTCTGTGCCATCAGTTCGTGTACCAGACTGTGAAGCAGACCCTTCAGGTGGGGATAATGAACTTGACTGCTGCTGGTTTGCTGAGGCTGGGGATGATGCCACCACCATTGCATCACCCAAACGACCCTGAACATAGGCAGAATTCTGCCAATCTTCTCCCCCTGTACCACCAATAGGTTTGTTGTCACCAGACACTACAGCGATCGGATCTGATAACAGTCATCGGTAAATCATTATATTTTTTTAAGAAAAACCCCCTTACAATAGGATAATTTGTACTTACAAAAGCAAAAAAGGAAAGGAACAGATTACAAAACATAATATAAAAATTACCTTGGTTTAAATTGCTTTTTAAAACTTAGTATTTGACAGTTTACACATTTAAACCAGTAGTATCAAATGCCAAATGCACCCATGAGAATATTATATATGTCCTCTGTACGTGTGCTGCCCAGAACTTACAAGCTGAATTAGAAATTAAAAACTTCTGAAATTCTTATCATTCTCCTGTCAGTGACATCTGGCATAATTATTAGAAACATAAGATATATCCTTGAAATATTCAAAATAGTTTGGAAAAGTATGAGCACAATAAGCAGAAATTTCAGTACAACTGTATTATGTTACTGTGTTCATGTATCACTGGGAAGGCTCAAAATAATACGTTAAATCAATCTGTCAAGCCAGCACAGAGAACGAGCCTGACCACATCTTAAAACATCAAATAAAGAGTAATACGTGTGTGAATCAAGTCAGTGATGAATTAAAAAGTATTTAATCTTTGTTGCATTATAAGGAGTGCATGCAAAATTAAAGTACCTTTACCAGTATTTTATTAGCACTTGTATTTAGTACAAAGTGCTTATTGAAAATAAATAATCATATTACTATCAATATAAAATGCCCCTTACAGTCTTTGTTGCTTCTGTAAAGACAAAGATTTGACACTGCAATGATATGAAACATGAAGAGAGGAACTTGTAATATGAAGAACACAAAAACAACACAAGCAGAAGTAGAGTGGTTGCTATATAACTACCTGCATCACTATCCTCGCCATTACTGCCATCTTTGGACACCGCACTTCTCAATTTGCGTGGCGCCCCCCCCTCTCCATCTGATGTATCTTTCCTCTTGCGGCGCTTGTATGGTGTGAAAAGACGAACTGGTCCGGTCTGTAGAATAAGGATACATCTTTCAAGTATTTATTCTTTGAAATTTGTCCCAAAACACATCTTTGTTTAAGTTTAAGGTATTTAAAAGCATAATTTTTGTGTTTTGGAATACTCCAATAAATAACATGACTGAAATGTTGACTCCTCCCAAAAATTGATTTCAGAAATGCACAGTTCATTTTGCATGAAATAAATGCATTGCAATAAATTTCCATTTATATTTTATCAGTTCATAATTTGTACTTTGCATGTAATATTCTTAGGACAATTAAACTAAAACAGATGAGATGAGTGGAACATGTATGTAGGAGATAAAAAATGTGTATTCACCTCATTCTCCTTGATTTGATCATACTTATCTCTGGTAAAGAGTAAAAATCATTAAGCCCTTCACAATTAAATAACTTAACCAATGAATCTACCACAGATTCTGAGTGA